TCGCGCGCGCAAGGCCTTGCGCGCCCGAGAGTGCCCAAGAGGGCAGCGGGAATGGCCGGAGGCCGTCCAAACCGGCCGGACGTGCAGTGGCAAGGCGAGCCAGCGGGGTTCCGGGTGCGGGCCGGCCGCATCGCGCATGCGGCTGGCCCGGCCTTCCCCCAGTGGCGGACTTGCCTTGCGCTGCGGCGGCGCTGGTCGCGGGTTAAACCGGGTCAGGGCGCCGGGCGGCCGGGACGCGTCGCCTCTCTCTCGCCGCCTTGCCCGGCGATGGGCTCGGACTGGAGCAGCCCCGAAGAGCGGGAGCCCCTCTTGCCGCAGCCGCCGCCCGCCTTCCCCCCCTCCCGCCAGCAACATGCCCCGCTCCGGAGGCCGGCGGCGGCAGGAGCAACAGCAGCAGCAGCAGCGGCGGCGGCGGGTGCATCGCGAGTGGAGTCCCGCGGCCGGGCGCCGCCGCCGGCCGGCCCCCCTCGCGCGGTCCCGCTGCTGGGCCGCGTCTACGGGCGTCGCTGGGTGGTCCTCCTGCTCTTCTCGCTGCTCAGCTTCGCCCAGGGCCTGGTGTGGAACACGTGGGGCCCCATCCAGAGTTCGGCCCGCCAGGCCTTCGCCTTCTCCAGCATGGACATCGCGCTGCTCGTCTTCTGGGGGCCCATCGGCTTCGTGCCCTGCTTCGCCTTCATGTGGCTCATGGACAAGAAGGGTAAGCAAGGGGGGCGCGGGCTCAGGCGCACTCCTGCCCGGAGCACTGCCCAGTCTCTCTCTCTCTCTCTCTTTTTAAATAACATTTTTTTATTTTGTAAAACATCAGTGGACAGACAAACATGTAATCCTCGGTTTTATGGATTTTACAATGTTTTAGACTGTGTTTTATTGTATACAGTTTTCTGTCTTTTAGTGCATTCTTCTCTGCTTGTGGTTTGTAATGGCCTATGGCTAAATACAATAAAAACAGTCTCTCTCTCATACAAACATTTAACACTTAGATACCATAGTTGTTGTTCAGTCGCACAGTCGAGTCCGACTCTTCGCGACCCCAAGGACCAGCTCCCGCCAGGCCCTCCTGTCTTCCGCTGTCCTCTGAAGTTGGCTCAATTTCATGTTCGTTGCGTCGATGACACTGTCCAACCATCTCATCCTTTGCCGTCCCCGTCTTCTTTGACCTTCAATCTTTCCCAGCATCAGGGTCTTCTCCAGTGAGTGCTCCCTTCTCATTTGGTGGCCAAAGTATTTGAGCTTCAGTTTCATTATCTGGCCTTCCAGGGAACAGTCAGGGTTTATTTCTTTTAGGACTGACTGATTTGATCTTCTTGCAGTCCAAGGGACTCTCAAGAGTCTTCTCCATAGTACATAGATACCATAGTACAAGACTTAATTATAAAGTGTCAGTTAAAAAGGTAAAGGTTCCCTGGCTCGAGTCCGACTCTAGGGTTGCGGTGCTCATCTCAGTTTCCAAGCCGAAGAGCCGGCGCTGTCTGAAGACGTTTCCGTGGTCATGTGGCCGGCATGACTAAACACCAAGGCGCACGGAACGCTGTTCCCTTCCCACCGAAGTGGTACCTATTTATCTACTTGCAATTTCTTGCTTTCGAACTGCTAGGTTGGCAGGAGCTGGAACTAGAGACGGGAGCTTACTCCGTCATGCGGCACCCGGGTCTCGAACTGCTGAACTACCGACCTTCCACAGCCTGCAGTTCAGCGTCTTAACCATTGAGCCACCGCAGCTCCTAAATACCATAGGACAAGGCTTAATTGTAAAGTGTCAGTTAGAAATTGCTTGTAAGGTTACATGCGATGAAATGCTTTATAGTACTTTGAAGGAACAGTGAATTTGGAAGGTTCAGTATTAAATATGAATTCTAGGAATTCTAGTCTTGGTTCCCCCCCCCCCTCCTTTTGCGCCCCACTCAACTGAACAGCATTCGGTTACATTTACATGGGGCTGAAATTGAAAAGGGGCAGAGAGGGTAATTGAAACGATTGTCATGACAACTGAATTTGGCTCCATCGTTTTACTCTTAAACACATGCATTTTACTTTTAAACATCGCCTATGACGCTGCACCTCGCCAACAAAAAATAGAAGATAACCCTAGGGTCCACCATAATCAATTTGCACTGGTTTTAACCATTTTTTAAAACAAATCTTCATTTGTTTTTCTTTTCACACTTTCCCCGACTTTGTGGTGCCCCCTTTGGCCCTGGTGCCCTAAGCAGGTGCTTAGTCTGCTTAATGGTTAATCTGCTCCTGAGGGTAAGGAAGGCCTGAGTGGGGAGGCCTGTCAGTGAGTGCCTGTGGCTGCATTGCCCGGCATTTTGCCAGTTTGGGGTAGTGGGTTAAGTGCGCCGACTCTAATCTGGGAGAAGTGGGTTCGATTCCCCACTCCTCTACTTGCACCTGCTGGATGACTTTGGGCAAGCCATAGGTCTGATAAGAGCTGTTCTTGAAAAAGAGCAATTACTTCCAATCTCTCCCTTTTCTTCTTTTACCTCACAGGGTGTCTGTTGTGGGGAGGGGAAGGGAAAGGAGTTTGTGAGCCACTCTGAGACACCTTTGGGTAGTGAAGGGTGAGGTATAAATCCAATCTCTTCCTTTTCTTCTTTTACCTCACAGGGTGTCTGTTGTGGGGAGGGGGAGGGAAAGGAGTTTGTGAGCCACTCTGAGACACCTTTGGGTAGTGAAGGGTGAGGTATAAATCCAATCTCTTCCTTTTCTTCTTTTACCTCACAGGGTGTCTGTTGTGGGGAGGGGAAGGGAAAGGAGTTTGTAAGCCGCTCTGAGACTCCTTCGGGTAGTGAAGGACGGGGTATAAATCCAATCTCTTCTTCTTCTTCACCCTCGAGCGCTTGGAATAGAAAGGAGCCCTTTTGTTTGCCGTCACAACGAGCCTGTGAGGTAGGCAGGCCAGGGACAGAGGCCAGTCAATCCATCTTGTTGACAGCTGTCGCCTCTGTCATGTGTTACACATTTTTGACGTGAAAAGCTTTTTTTTAAAGGGAACCGGTTTTCGTATCTAGCTTGTATTTGTGTAGTTTTATATTCTCGGGAGGTTATCTTATCAAGTAGATGTTGATGCTGTCTGGAGTTTTGTTATTGTTCTGTTTTTGCTGTATTTCTGGCATTGTAGTTTTAAAGTGTAAAAAGAATACTCCTAACAGTGACAGGTTTATTGGTAAGAAATTCACTTTGATTGCTTTTGTCATTCTTAGCTATGCGAACTTTTAAGTCCTCACCCAAAGTTTTTGTGTTTAACCCTTGTTGCTCAAGTTATTATGGTATGATAGTGAAAGAAATAAAACTTTACGTAATACTTCCCTACCCAGTATCAAATATTTTGTCTATATGTGGAAGTCTGTGTTGATCTTCTCTAATAAATGTCTGTCTTTTATAATAACTCTCTTCCTTGGATACGTTAAGGGCTGTAACATCTTGATACGAATGTGATTTAGGAAGTGCCCACAGGTTGTTAGATATTGTACTATTATAGGATGTGAATAATAGTACAATATCCAATCATGTGTACATCACATCTTAGTTAAGGCCAGAGGTCATTTCGGGGGGGATCGCGGGGGATCGCAGTTCCCCCAGGTGAGGTATGGGG